AGCTTTACTATATATTTCAATATTGCCTTACACAAAGTTTGCACCAGTTTATATTTTTACAAACATTCTGTGAGTTTTCCAGTTTTCCAGCCCTGGATAAGCTTAGGGATTGGCAATTTTTTTTGATCATTTACAGTTTGATGGATGGAAATGCTATCTTGTTTGGGTTTCTATTTGCAGTTACCTGATCACAAGTGATATTAAACATGGTTCTAATATTTATTGACTTTGGGCTCTCCATGACTTTGTATTTGAATTTTATAATAATTCACAGGTACTGTTGTATAATAAACATAGTAACCCTTTGTCTGCCACAGAAATTGCAAATATTTTTTCAATTTGTCATTTACATTTGACCTTGTGCATAGTTAGTAGAAGTTTTAATATATGTAACCAGATCATAAAACTTTACAGCTTTTCTTGTTTTTTGTATTTCTTTAGAAAAACCTTTCTGTCTCCAGGATAATTAAGATGTTCACCCATCCTTTATTCCAGAAATTTAATGATTTCATTTTATTTGCACTTTAATTAAGCAAGGACTTTTTAATGTCTCCACCCTGGGACAGGTACTATTCTAGACAATAGGAGTTTACATTTACACATACATGGCCCTTGAGCTTAAATTACTTTTTTAGTGTACATACCCCCATGACTATAACTGTTTATAAGCCAGTTTCATCACGAGATTACTTGCTCTTTTAGGGCAAACACCATGGCTTTTATCAACCTAGTTCCAGTTCCAGTTGTATGGTACGTATTCAAATAGATGATGAATAAATAAATAATTTAAATGCTAATTGCATTCCTTCTTATATGTGAAAAAAGTCTTGTCCTGTTTAGGCATGATAAGACCTAAGCCAAGGGTTTCTTAAATTTTCAGAAATCCTTTTGAGGGAATACCTGAATCCTGTGATTCCTGTCTACTCATATGATCCCAAGAATCCCTGGAAATCATAGGAACAATTTTGTTTTTAGTGCGTATCTTTTCTCTTTCCTTACAGCACTCTTTTTCTCTTTTTGCTAACGATTTTATTAATATATTATTCTTAGTTTCTCTCACAATCCCATCTGTTTGCCAGTTTTCTTATTTCTACTTCAGAATTGCAAACTTTGAGACAAAAATGGTTTAACCGTTTAGTGTATTTAAAAGTTTTAGCAGTAGATGTAGAACATCCAATCTGTTTCATAGCCATAGTAACCAAATATGTGTAAAATTTATGGAAGTTGTTCCCTTGCAGACAAATATTAAAATATTGCTTAATTGTACCAGGCTCTTGAAACTTTCTTCTCCCTGCTAACAATGTATCTACTGCATACAGAAGTAAAGAAATGATTAAAATTTCTGCCTCATGAAATTCACAATCAACATTAAATGATAGAGTGAATGAATAAATGAATGAGTAAAATATAACCTGCTACTTAAAAAGTCTCAATCTAATTGGTATACAATCTATAGCCTAATTTTACAGATGTACATTTTAAGTGCTAAGGGGGTACAGAGGAGAACTGAATTACTTTTTGACTGGAGGAGTCAAGATAACTTTTTAGAAGACATGAAATTTGAGCTGAATTTTAAAAAATAATAGAATTTTGAAGGGGGAAAGCATGGAAAATATTCTAAAGATAGGACAAACTGGTTTGAGGATTAGCTTCCAACAATTATCCTCTGTTCTTTCAACATAATGAACTATCTCTGAGGTTTTTGCTAGCATCACTTCCCCTGGGACATCTTCATCTTTTTCTTCACAGCTGCTTTCCTCATTGTGTCAATGAGTTTGCTTTCACTAAGTTCTTCTGCTGTATATATAAAGTTTCTTAATGCTGACAGTATCAGCATTCTCACAGTCAGCTGTTTCTTCTGGCATTCCGTTTAGGTTTGAATTTCACTTCTAGTGTTGTCACTTTTCATTTCTTTGCTGCACTTTCATCTTTGTTGGCCAGTTCCATATTTTGGTTATTCGTTTTTGTAAAATATCACATGAATTTAGAGGCAAGGAGACAACACAAATACATGCTTTTCTGTTTGTACATGAACTGAATAACAGATATTTAATGATCAATCACCAACAGACTTTGAAAGAAGTGATGTGATTAGTCACTAATCATGATGCACATAGGTTGCTTATATAATGATTTGTAGACTGAAGAACTAATAGCAAAATTTCACCCATGTGTAATTTGCTCACCGTTAATATGCCGTGGTAACTGAAACTTGAGTCCTGTTGTTGGGGGAGTGGTATTATTTAATTAATTTGTGGAAACTGAAATCCATGCATGTTAGAACTACACAAAGCAAGAACTTACTTGTATTTCTAAATATTTAAAGGAATAAAAAATAAGCCATCCATGCTCTTGGATTGAAAGACTTAATAATGTTAAAATGTCCATACTACCCAAAGTCATCTACAGATTGAATGGAATCTCTTTCAAAATCCTAAAGGAACTTTTTATAGAAATAGGAAAAGCAATTAAAAAATTCTTGTGGAACCACCAAAGACCTTGAATAGCCAAATCTTCTTGAGAAAGAAGAACAGAGCTGGAGGCATCACATTTCCTAATTTCGAAATATATTATATTGCTATTGTAATGAAAACAATGTGGTACTGGTATAAAGATAGACATACAGACCAATGGAAAAGAATAGAGAACCCAGAAATAAATCCACACATACACAGTCAACTGATCTTTCACAAGGGTGCCAGGAATACAAAATGAGGAAATGAAATTGGGGCAAATATCACCCACAAAAGATATTGGAAAATCTGGATATGCACAAGTAAAAGAATGAAATTGGACCATGATCTTACACCATACACAAAAATCAACTCAAAATGGATTAAAAACTTGAACCAGACATAAAACTGTAAAACTCCTAGAGAAAAACAGAGGAAAACTTCATGACATTGATATGGGCAATTATTTTGTGGAAATGACATCAAAAACACAAGGAATAAAAACAAAAACAAATGGGACTGCCTCAAACAGCAAAGGAAACACTCAACAGAATGAAAAGGCAGTCTATGTAATGGAAGAAAATATTTGTAAACCATTAATCTGATGAGAGTTAATATCCAAAATGTATAAGGAACTCCTATTACTCAACAAGGAAAAAAATCCCTAATAGTCTGATTAAAAAATAGGTGAAAGACTCGAATAGATAATTTTTTTCCAAAGAAGACATTGCCAACATGCTAGGATACTAGTTACTTTTATGTCTTAGAATATTCATAGGGAGGGTTTCTGGGGTGCTGGTTATGGTCTGTTTTTATATGGGTGTCAATTATTAATACATGGGTGTGTTTTGTGAAAATTCTTTGAATTATACACTTCTGTTTTATGCACTTTTCTGTAAATGTTATTCTTCAATCGAAAGTTGAAGTTTTGTATATATATGAAAAATTCATATATATACACACACACACATATATATAAAGAGAGAGAGTTGTATACATAGGGAGAGGGTAAGGAAAGGGGGGAGAGAGAGAATAATTATGCTGGGGAATGTCTCTTATGTTTTTGTAAATATGCATCATAGATAATATTTCTCTAAGACTAAGGAAGTGGAACAATGACGTGAATGATTTTAGTAAAAGACACACACAAAAAATTCTCGGTGTTTAGTAAAAAGTTAAGTTTAAATATTACTTCAGATTATTTAAATAAAGAGAATAATGTGCTTGGAAAAAAATTTCTTACTTGGACCAATGTCTAGGAAATTAATTTGAATCTTTGTTTATGAGTCATTTCAATGTTATTACACAGTATTATTCCAAGATTAATAATTAATAATTTTTCATCAAACATAACAGTGACAGAGTAACCACCTAAAAAATATGAACTATCATGCAACCAAAAGGAGTAAAGAGAGAAGTTGAAAAAACTTATTTTCTTATTAACTTTATTTTTACATCTCTTGATTGTGTTTTTTTATGTTTATTTGCCCATAGTCACATTATTTTTGGAGTGTTGGAAACAGCGACAAGCCAAACTAGAATATGAGTGGGACCTGGTGGATTTTGAAGAGGAACAGCAGCAGCTTCAGCTAAGACCTGAGTTTGAAGCTATGTGTAAACACAGGAAAATGAATGCAGTAACTAAGGTAGACTGTGAAACTAAAATTAGCAGC